GCGGTTTCGGTTCGCAGACGACGCAAATTTTGGTGATTTCACGTTGTCGTTTTGCAAAGGACGGCTAAGAAATGTACAAAGTTTTAAAACGCACGTGCTGAGTTATTGTTCAGCCAATTAGATCTATTGTTTTTCCACGTTCTCGTTGCCGTCGCCGTCGTGGTTTGCTTAAATTCCCTAGTTTCATTTATAACCACTCTTTGACGCCTTCCAGTTAGGTATGAGTAAAACCAGGAGAGTAGGGAGTCATTTATTCCAAACGTTTTTAGCTTCGACACGAGCTTTGCCGGGCACACAGTATCGAAAGCCTTGGCAAAGTCCAAGTAAATTATGTCAGTTTCTAGCCCACGATTCAGTGCATATGACCTATGCCGTAGAATACTTCAATGAGCTGAGTGACGCAAGATTTGCCCTTTTGAAAACCACGTTGAAGAGGATACAAGATCTTCTTAACGTGAGGGACAAGGCGTGATGCCACACACCGCTCCTGAACTTTAGAGATCACTGGAAGTAACGACACGGGGCGATAATTTTCGACAAACTCTCTTTTCCCTTTTTTAAAAATCTGAGAAACATTTGCTTTTTTCCAATCAGATAACTGAAAGCCTTTGTTTAAACTAAAATTAATAATGGCCGTTATAGATGGAGCAAGGAGGTCAGCACATTCTTTCAACACGATGGTGGGCAGCTTATCATGTCCGATTGCCTTTTTAGTGTCCAATGAACGAAGGATGTCCACAACTTCCTCAACTGACACTGTGACATGAGATAATTGTTCAGTAACGCCCGGGAGAATTGGTGCGTTCAGTTCAATTACACAGTTCGAAGGATCCTTGTAAATAGATTTGAAAAAGTCATTAAAGGCTTCTACCTGCCCACGATCATCAGAAAATGAGACACCATTGTAAGTTACCTTGTCAGGTATTGGCTTTTTTCTTGCATTTGAAGGAAAAGAACGACCAAAAACGCTTAGAAGTCTTATGGATTTCATTTGATAACTCTTTAACATAATTTCTCCTTTCATAACGTTGATTTTTAATTTGTTGCCTTAATTTGCGGAATTTCTCCACTTGTTGAGGAGATTTTGAGTTCCTAATACGCCACCATAAGGTCTTCTTCTTGTTGATATCCTTTGCTAAGTCCTTCGATATCCAAGGAGGACGATATGAATGTTTCTAGTTTACTTTTGGGACGAAGGTGTCTACAGCAGCAAAAACAAAGTCATTCCACAAATCCCAAAGAGAATCAAAATCTTCAATGGAATTAACGCTGTGNTACAATTCTTAATCGTTTAAGAGACTCAAATTTTGCATTTTTGAAGTCGAATCGCTTCAGGCGAGAAACGTATTTAAAATTTACATCCACAGCCAAGTCAAAGAAGACGGGAAAATGATCCGATGAAAGTCCACTGTCTCTAGACTGGGACCAGTTTTTAGCTCGAATATGAGGGAATGGGTGTTTGTTAGAACGAGATCCAAGATGTTGTTGCTTCTAGTAGGTTGCTCTACTGATAGAAATAAATAAAACTCCATCAACAAATTTGCAAAAGAAGAATCATCACCAGATGATGCAAAGCCTGACCCTTCTATCCACTGTATACCAGGGAAGTTAAAATCCCCTCCTACAATAACAGAGTAGTGATGATGAAAATTCAAGGGATCTTAGAAGCCAGCGAATTGCTGAATAAATTGTTGATAGTTGTCAGGAGGGCGATAGCAGTTTATAAGTAAGATCGTACTTTAGGTTTGATATTTCAACAAAACAATTTCTAAACTTGAAAACTCTGACGGAACTTCATGGAGAGTCGAAGACAGTGTACTTTTGATTGCTGTCATAACTCCACCACCAACTCTACCAACACGGTCACATCTAAAAATGTTATACGCTGTAGGCAATATCTCGTGATCCATGATTGATTCGTTTAGCCATGTTTCAGTAAGGAAAATAACATCGAGGTCTAGTCCATAAACGATATCTTGTAGAACCCCAAGCTTCGATTCAAAAGACAAACCCTCCGCAACTTGAAAGGCTTTTAAACTTCTAACGTTTTGCATAAAGCAGCTTAAAGATTCCTGGTGAGGTCCAGCATTTGGCAAAATGTCGCCACAGCGCAAAAGGATCAGTCTTTCAACAGAAGTTGCTAAGCAGAGGCCGCCATGCTTGACCATTTTCACGATCGGTCTATGTCGTTTAGTTGATCCTTCTGTTACTACGACGCAGTCTCTACAAAATTTTGGACGAAACTGAGGTCTAGATGTCATGAGACCAGATTGATACCTTAAAAGAGAAAAGGCTACCAAAAACAAGCTCAAGAAGCAGAGAGAAAAAGGACGCTTGACAAACACGTCTGCCGCCATATTGAATATCATCACTTCTCCTTTACCACGTTCATTATATTGTGAACGCGGCCTAATTGCTCGCTGCACTCGCACTGGCGAATTTTCTTGTAAGAAAATTAGGAATCAAATACTAACATGAAAAATTTTCTTGACGAAACTCTTGTCAGCGCTGACTTTTGCCTTCTTAAGAGGGCCTTCTTACACTTGAGTTGTAATTTTTCGAGGTTCATTTGTGATTCTCTTACTCAAACCAAGCGGATCTCGCTCGTCGAAAAAGCTAAACATCTGGCGCTGTATTTGACGATGCTGGACGGCTTGAATCACCTCAAGAGGTGGAGTATTTGATACTACCCTCTTCTCGTCAGTAACATAGTTTCATTTCAAAACCTGTTACTTAAACGAGGCAAATCATTCATCACTCTTCTTCGAGATCCTCATCAGGAAATTCCTTTCCTGGCCCTAAAACCTGTCTTACGTTGACATTTATCCGCGAGGTACAGATGTAGTGTTCCAGAATAATGTCATCTTTCTCACCTCACATATCGCCGGGTTTGTCTTTGTCTTTCCTTAAGCACAGAGGCAAGCTTTGAGTGCCTGGATGTGTAGATGGAGGTAGAATCCTCGGCACAGCATGGTAAGCCAACCGTGAATTTCCCGCCATGATCATGATATCTCCGCTACGCAGGTACATGGCCAGTGGCACCTGCTCCAGCGTTTTCCCGCCAAGAAGAAAGATTGCTGACTGGCCAAAACTGCAGAAGGAGGAATAAAAATAACAGCGATAATAAGTTATTCTTTGTTTGTATGATTAATAAACACAGCCATCAACGACATAAGAAGTATCTACATATATGAAGACATATTGGAACTTGGAACACAGCAAAAATAATAATTGCATCTAATAACTCAGGGCTGTTTCCTAAACAGTGTCACGCTATTTTTTTTTAAAAATAGTGTGTTTAAAAACATCCATGACAATTTTAAAATCAAAATAGATTTTCACAAATGTTTGATTTAGTTTGTTAGCTATGTCATTTTTTCTTCAATCTGTATTTACTATCTGCTACTAGCCACACTACTCCTCGAAAGGTTTCAGACGAGTTATGGAAAGCTCAATAAAGACATTATTTTCTATCAAAACATTTCAGCAAAACTGCTATAACTCCTCCAATTTACAAAGGTTTCAAAAATAAAGGTTCAAAGTGTTAATCTCAAGGGACAAGTGAACCTGAGCCAAGGCTGTGGTCATTGAGGACGGCAAGAGAGGAAAAGCTAGCAGGGTTTTTTCGGGAATTGCTACAAACCCAAGTAAGCCCTCAAGGCATTTAGTTTGACTTACCTCAAAGAGAAGAGAGGAGCTGTGAGGTCAAATTCAGAATGATCTGTATGTCCAGACAGTGTTGAATCCAGATGATAGTAGTTGATTATTCCAGCCTCAGGCTTGAAGCTGGCAACAACAATAACGACAACGAAAAAACAATAACTCCTAACCTTTTCCTGGAATTTCATTCTTTGGAATATTTTAACACTTTCGTTTTAGTTTCCCCATTAAAAACAAGCTATTAAGGGCAAGAAGTCATGTCTTTAAAATGCAAAAAATCATCTCCAGATTTCTAGATTCATTATACATTTTGTATTCACTCAGAAGAAATATTTATATAGATCACACTTGTGCTTTTGAAAGAAGTTGAAAAAAAAAACCAAAATCTCGGCTATGTATGAAGTTTTGTAGACACAAAATCATTGCAGAAGCAGGAAAATGTTGAGAAAAATGCACACATCTTGGTTATAACTGCTACAAAACCCTGAAAGTGAATAGTAACATCTAATGTCCCCTTACAATATCCCCCCTGAATCACACATTAAGGTCCTGAGAATTAAGAAAATGCTCACCAACTAGAGAAGCTCTTGATTGTTAATCAAATTCTCTTTGACAGCACCTTAGGAAATGCATGGATATTAGTAGGGAGAATATGCATGCTGATGTTTGCATGTAAGTATTAAAGCAGGTCAACTAGGTTGAATCTAAAGAAATCCACTCTGCATACACTTAATTCTTCCAATTCAATTTGGGAATACAAGTTACAAATTTATCTGGCCTTTCACAATCAGTTGACAGCGAGTAATTTTTTCCATATAAAAATGTGCCTGACAAAACAGTGAGAGTTTTACCTGGAGAATTGTAAAGTTGTGGCAATAAATTCAATAAGTTGGCCCAAATCAGGTGGAAATGGTGTATGTCTCTTTTTGTTATAAGTCTGTAATAAAACATAAGTATTGTTGAGTGAAAGCTAAAAATATTACTTCATAAATCTTTGTTATTCTTTATTCAACTTTTGCTAGCAGCAACACCTTCCAACATTGTTAAATTCAATGTCTCAGTTTGAAGGTTATATTCAAGGTCATGTACTACCTTAATCCTCCACAAAAACTAATGGAATCTTTCCCCGCCAGGATAAATCTTTGAAGTTAATGTATATACCTTATCATCCCAGTTGTAATGATATCCAAGGGTAACCCAGCGAAGTTTGTACAGTGGGCTCTTCTTCATACAACTGTAAATTGGAAACACCAAATTCATGAAAACTTACCTTTAATTAAACAAAGGATTTGAATTAAAATAAATGAGAGAAAAAAAGTGTTTATTGATATTTGGTAAATGGTGAAGGTGGCAAGGGGTTTATATGTTACACTAGATGCATGATTACAGGTAATTGAACTAAGTAAAGTGCAATTTGGTTTGAAATCATATGCTTGGTTTCAAAATCAAATGGGCATGCAGAGTTTGAATCTTAGGTATGGCTTCAGACCAAAATTGCATGACATGAAGTCCAAGTACAACTTTACTACATCTATTTTGAATTTGAAAGGTTCATTCACTCAATACAAGTCTGTACAATTATTTTATTGATACTGTATATTGAGTTGGTTTGTAAAAAGTTTCAAAAGCTGTTTCTCAGTTTCCTGCAATTTGATTGATTTCTTTAAAGAAGAAGTCGAGCTGGCTAGGATAAAGATGTGATTAAGAGCATAAAAATGGTGTGATCTGCGAATAATTAAATTGCACTGGTGAGAGCAAATCAGAATGCAAGGATAATAAGTGATTCAAAATGCATGTATTAAAGTCTATACATGTACCATAAAAGCCCATGGTCAAGCTTCACTTTTTTTCCAAAAATCATTGCTAGAAATTGGGGGTGTGGCTTATCTGCGGGAACATTTGAAAAAGGTGTTGTGAATGTCCATTTTCATGTTCGATCTAATGCCTGGTAACTAAGCTTTGAATGTTCTGCCCACGTTTATGTTGTAATGCAAAAATCTATGGAAAAAGTGTGTTAAATGACTACCAGAAAAATCATATGTCAAAGTTGGTAGAAGCGATGTTCATTATATTAAAGTGCTAAAATTGTGGGTAACACTTTAAAGTATTTTCCGTTGCAATGTTAATGATGAGTTTATGTTCAATGAACAGTGGATGAAGAAGACTTCTCAAGACTCAACTTTGGATTTCTTTTGATTTCTATCAAAAAGCTTTTTTTTCCAAAATTTGAGCTGGGGTCACTGCAGCTTATCTGCAGGTGCGGCTTATCTGCAGGTGCGGCTTATCTGCAGGTGCGGCTTATCTGCAGGTGCGGCTTATCTGCAGGTGCGGCTTATCTGCAGGTGCGGCTTATCTGCAGGTGCGGCTTATCTGCAGGTGCGGCTTATCTGCAGGTGCGGCTTATCTGCAGGTGCGGCTTATCTGCAGGTGCGGCTTATCTGCAGGTGCGGCTTATCTGCAGGTGCGGCTTATCTGNGCATGTTCTTTCTATGTGAGCATCTAAATTACACACATTTGGCTTACAAGGATAGTCTTTGATACATTTTTCAATCCACTCCCACTGTGCCCCAGGCATGAAGGGATTTACTATAAAAATAAAACCTGCAGACAAAACACAATTGAAAAAATATTTCTCAGATGAAAACATTGTGATGTGTAAGTCACTTCCAGCAGCATCATCAAGATTGCCTTTTAATAGAAAGAAAACCTAAATTCATAGTTTCAAATGGTTTACGAACACTAAAGGGGTAAAGGAAATAAGACTTAGTTAATTTTAAATGAGTGAGTTTCTTTTCACCTTTTTTTTTTTTTTAGTTGACAATTTCTTTTATATTTAAGATCAAACCTACTGTATAAAAAAAAATTGTTTATTAATCAATTAAATCAACCACTCGGAAGAAAATTATTTGAAATTTATCCCACCTGGATGGTCACGAACTCCATAAACACGCCACTCTCTACATGAGCGCAACCCAAAGTCAGCTGTTCTTGCTGAATCTGAAATTTGTTTCTCCGTTGTGGTAATCTGTTGAGTCATTTCAACAAGCTAGTTTAAAAGTTAATCGATAAAGCCATCGATAACAACGAGGGTATCCTACCAATTTGAATGATACGAAAGTCACCAGTTTTCGTTAGCAAGGTTCATCGATACAAAAATGTTCATTACCCATTTCTTAAAGGGTTCTCCCGCAGGCTGGGTGAAATCGATCACTTCTGATAGGTCTGGTGGAGGCTGACGCTGTTTGTATCGTTTGAATTCCTTTTTGAATGGATCCATCGGTCAAACCCCTGCGTTACAAATAATGACAAGTTTTTGCCAGGCGCTGCACTTTCCTTGGAAACTACTGACAGAACCCGAGAGAGCCTGCAAAGGAGCTATCTTTCTCTCCAGTCTCCCTGCTGTCACCCTGAGATTTGCTTGTCCAAGATGGCGAACTGAGTGCCGAAGTGTTTCACAGCGTTGCTTGTTTTTCTTTTCGAAAAAAGAGAAATTCTATGTAAGCATGGATCAAAATGATCCAGATGATGATAGTTCAAAATCCTCGGATGATGATGCAAGCCCAGATAACTCTGATGTAGGGGAGGAAGGCCAAATTGTAAGGCTTTTCGTTGTTGTTGTACAATTCTCATTTTCCAAACTTCGATAATTATTTCTTTTTAATCTTTCTTTTTTAAATTTTTTTTTTTATTTCAGGGTCGGCTGAAAGAAGGTGAGTGTCTTTCAAGGGATTACTTGGCTGCTGACAATCAATATTTTACCTAAAGTAATATAGTTTGCTTGTTGTTAGTATTTAAAAGTCGCGGTTTTGATACACGTGGAGCGATAGCTGGTCGTAAAAAAAGACTACGGTAGAAAGAGAAAAATTCAGACTATTTTCTCTTTGTTTCTTTTTTCGTAGAACTATCAGAGATTCCTTTTTGTGAACTTGAAGAGCTTAAGCATAAAGTTGGCTCCAAAAGGTATAT